CACATCCCGGTCACTTCCGGTTTCACCAGATATGGCTACGGTTTTGAATTTTTAAATGAAACAACCAGTATATTATGGCAATTTTAGAGTTCTGAGGCAATTCTGGATTAGAATGTGACATTTTGAATTATTTTCACAATAGCAGTTTTCAAGTATGCAGTGACTGCCATCTTGAGGAATTACACTCAAAGCTTGACCTGGTGTGAGTTGAATGAATCTGATTATATTCAAATTTTGTGAGAGTGTGATCAACCATGTGAACTCGAAATGGATTCGTGATTTTTCGAATCCCACGTTTCCTGAGGGCAGTATGTTTTTTTTTCGAATCTTTCGTTGAACTACCATAGTTGTGAAGACTTTCACAAATTTCTACATCTAAATATGAAACGAGAAACGATAAAAGAATGTAAACAAGTATACAGGGTTGTTTCCACAGGTTAGAGGATTGGAGAAAAGTTGTGTAAAAAAATATCTCACTCTACTCTACTCACTACCAATTCCTACTTACAGATTGAATCGTTGCAAATAGAAATTGTTCCTCATTGGGTAAGAAGAAAAATGGACCTCAATCAAGACAACAACAACAATAATGAATATATCTTGTTTGTTCCTTGAACATCATGAATAAGAACTTCCTATCAAGCAGTGGTTGATCAGTATAGAAGTGGAAAGACCATCTATGATTTGAAAAAAAAACAACATTTCTTATTTTTGAGGTTCCAATATAATCATAATTTCAACATCCGTAAACTCATTCGATTATTCAGATTATTTCATCGATAGACTTCTGGAAAGTAACCCAAATATGTTATAAATTCTTCAATAACAATATAATGGAACAATCATCAATTCAATATTCAGTTGGTCCACTTCTTGCCCGCAATGAAGCTGTTACTTTTCTTAAGATCGCATTCTTAAAACCATCCAAATCATCCACATCGCACTCTGTTTCTTTCAACTTAATTTTCATCCTACTCCACACATGCTCAATGGGGTTCATATAGGGAGATAAAGAAGCCAAACCATCCGTTTAATATTGTTTTCAAATTGGGGCTATTTTGCACAGTATCATTCGTCACCCTGTGGTCTTCCAGTTACAAATTTTCACGTCGATCAATTATAATCCCTTGAAACTCAATGAAATTATCATTAAGGAACTGAAAACGAGATGAAAATCAGTTGAGTCATTCAGAAATTACGAGGCTTTCAATGAGAGTGAAATTATGCATCGTTACGTTTCATTTGTTGAGCAGTTCAGTAAGTATTGAACGAATAAGACAAGTTGACAAGATCCAATTTTCGTAACTCGATATCATTTTTTCAAACGACAAGCACCATTGGGAGAAAAGAATTTTTGACGGGCAGTTCTAGCAACTTAATAATCGAGCGAAAGGAAATCCGGTTCCTATTCCGTAACCCGGCAGCGGAACGTCTAAAAGACGGGCCTTCGCAAGAGAGTAGGGGCAGCCCAAAGGACCCGGAGACGCCGTCGGGAGATCCGGGAAAAGTTTTCTTTTCTGCATAAGCGTTCGAGAGGGCCACGTGGAGGCATCGCGCTGGTTCGTAAACATATCCGCAGCAGGTTTAGCCTCTAGTCTATAGAATAATGTAGGTAAGGGAAGTCGGCAAATTGGATCCGGAACTTCGGGATAAGGATTGGCTCTGAGGATCGGGGCGTGTCGGGCTTGGCGAGGAAGCGGGTCTCGGCTGACGTGCCGGGCCTGTGCGAGGTGAAGCGCTGTCGCTTTACGTCTTGCTGTCTCCGGTTCGCTCGCAAGGGAGCCCGGGTGTCCTCTTCGGCCGGTGGCGGTAGTTGAGATACACACCTAAGTTGAATGTCCCCCTCTACAGGACATGCTTTACAGGTGATATCCTTACTACCAAGCTGAAGATAATCTGTCCGGTTTGCGATGGAACAAACCTCAGCTTAGGACAGGTGGATGCCTTAATTGGATGCCAAATGTCTGAGGCCAGGTCCGTCGAGGCAGATGGAAATCGAAAAAGCTCACGACCATCAACTTCCTCGTAGTAGCCACTGGGTGGTTGACGGTCCTTAGGTTACTAGGGGCAATTAACTAGCTAATGATAGTCAGCCGTGCTTTCCATGCAGCATGGCTTATAGGGGTAGGGGCAGTAGGAATCTGTCAGTCATGGAGTCGTAAACCTGCGATGCACGTAACAGCTTGCTGTTAAACGAGTAAGTATGGAACGACGTGATTATGGAACCAGTTTGGGGAATAGTCCATCCTGCGGATTCCCGAACCGTGTACCGTATGATTAAGCGGAGAAGTGCCGCTATATAAATGGGCATAAAATCCCAGGAAAGGTCAGGAGTTAAATCAGCGGGGGAATAGGTAGTTGACGATACTGCAGCGCAGCGGTCTCCTAGGAGAAAGCGATAAGTGCTATGCAGTGAAGTCGGCTGCATAACTAGGCCCCTGGAGCTGATGTAGATTCCAAATGGCAAAAGGAATGAGCCAGAGGTAAGAAATGAAAGAAGTAGAGTTGATAATATGCCCTAAGTCGACAAAGGCACACCATTAGGAGATCTCTGAAGAGTGATCAAAAGGTAGGTGTAACATGAGATAAATAGGGTCGGGGGCGCGTAGAGGGAACTGATGACGCGGGTAGAGTCTGCTGATAGGATTCAGATGTGGCTCCCTAGTGATTCATGATCTCTCCGCGTGATAATTGCTCGTACCCGTCGGATTGCCAAACCGTGAACCAAGTGATCACCTCCTATCTCTTATTCGATCGATGACCGACCATGGCTGGAGTTGCTCGAGAGTACTGTTTGACGGGATCTCGGGATATACTTCATAAAGCAATGGGATGGTGGTGATCGAGGAGGAGGAGCATGAAGGGACCCAAATGGATTGGGCTGAAGAAGACGAAGGGCAGAATCAATCAAAAAGACCTCGGTGGAATAAAGTGATGGTATAGAAATGCGGAGTTTTGGGCTCTAATTTCTAATCGCTGAATTTCGGGCCGGAGGGCGTGGCGGACCAATGAGGTCTGCCCGCCAGCCGGTCCGCCTTTTTTTGTGGTTTGAATAGTTTGAACCTGTCATGTCGTAACTTCTTGAGAGAGAAGCCGGCGGCTTCAAAAACTTGTGGCAAATCCCCACTAAACATAATAACATAACTCAAACATAAATGTAATATTACAATGTGACTTTGTGATGTTATTTAGAGATATGCTTGATATCACAGTTACGTTGCGGCAATCGACGTATGTGCCTCGTATAAATATTGCAATGTAATGTTGATGGTAAATATTATATAAATATATCAGGAATCACATAATGTATAATGCATATTCAATGTTACTTCATAACGTATATTTAATGTTACTCAAAACATCTAAACAATATTGTAAATTAACATTCTAATTAGTTTCTAGGAGTTTTTAGGTTATGTCTATTTTGTCTGGAATCATCAAGAAAATCATCTGAATGATCTTCAGAAGAGACATCAGAGAAGATGAACTATCCCTAAATATGAATTGATCTAACCGAACTCCTGAAAAACTATGCGTATGAATCGTATGATATATAGTTACCCAGTGATATTTTGAGACAGATTTACTACTATTTTCCTAAGTATCATTTTAGTTATTCTGCCTCATAAATCTAGTCAGTCCAGCTATATGATTTCTGCATAATCCAGTGATCCCTTACTGGAATTCTGAAAAGTAATGGGTAAATATATTTTTATACGAGTCGTTGGGAGTTTTCTAAATTATTTTGAAATTCTATTCTATGTTCTTCTTCTAGCTATGATATATAACTCACCCATTATTTTTGTAATTCGTGAAATATGAACACAATCCGTAGTCAGGAATCCCTCCTACTTTTTCACATATTATGAAATGCAGATACAGATTGGTTGCATTTCTATATCCCAGCAGAACAAACCTGGAATATAAGTAGGTAGTTATCATGGGCAATTCATTGTTGTTTCGAATTTGAGTCCAAGACTTGTTTAGTTCTACACTTACTTTGATAACTATACGAATAATACCTAAAAATCAATATTTTTACTGATCACACTATTTGGCTTGTTTACCATAATAGACAACAAACAAAATGGCTGGAATGAAATCGAATTGACTTTTGACAGTTGACAAGGTTACTTTGCCGTGAAAGAACAAATATCATCTCCTTGTATCCTGTATGCATGTAAGCTACGTTATGAGAAGGTGAAACGAAAACGTTGCACAAATAACATACAAACTCTGTCTGAGATATATCTGATAAACCTAAAATCAATATATCACAATATTATCTGATGATATCGATGTCAATATTGATGCGATGTCTCATAAACGTTTTACTTCATAATATTGTGTTGGATACCTCAGAAGGACAATATCGCAATGTTATTCCAACAATATCACAAAACTTATAACTGAAAAATATTTTTGTTATGTATCATGTTTAGTGGGTCACTTCTATTAATATGATGCGTAAACAGGATCTGAGTCCAAGTGAAGGAATATCGCTATAAAATTCCCTCACCATCGGAGGGCACCATACAGAAATGTTGGTGAAGAGCATAGCGAACTCTGAGTGCTCCCCAAGCGCCGTAACCTGCCAGTTCCCGAGGGGATAATGATGACAACGACCCGATGCGTGGTACTGGGATTTGGCTCGTGTGTGGCCATGGGACCGAGATGGAAATGAGCTTTTGCTCTGACTGCTCGGTCTCAGTTGGCCACAAAGAACGAGATGCCCGTGTGTAATGTACAGCAGCGGTAGCCATCGCTAATCAGGCCGGCGGGCTTGCCTTGACCAGCTGGCTCAAGTTGAAAATACAACTATAAAAATTATCTTGTCGTAGGGTTGCGGACGTTGCCAGGCGGCAACCAAGATAGGCGGAGTAGGGCCTATCCCTAAACGTCCGAACTACTAGAAGATGGCGCCTCTAGTAAAATAAGCCTTGTGTCGTATGGCAAAACGACATTGACTTGTTAGAAGCCAAAGATTCGTGGGAACAAGTATGAAGAACAATAAAGAAATTAATGAAAATGAGGATAGTGAGCAGACGGTATGCGGAGAAATTAGGGAAAGGGTAGAGCAGATGGTAACGGTGTCGAAGGATATAAAGAAATTTGTGTTGGATGATTCAAACAAGATTTCTAAAGCAGCGTCGTCATATATTTTAGATAAGGTATCAGTAATGGAGGAAATTATAAGTAAATTGATAGCGGAGAGAGCGGAAGCTAGAGGTAGGGCGGAGGAATGTAGAGCGCTGGTAAAGTTAATGGCGGTGATGTCTAATGTAACTAATACATCTGTACCACAGGCTAGTGTGAGTAGTAAGGTGGTACAGCCTGTAAAACAAAAGGTGGAAGTGAAGACATTTGCGGTAGCAGTAGAGAGTGATAAAGGAGAGAAAGTAGAAGAGATAATGAAGAAGGTAGACGAAATGAGTAGGGATTTGAAGACGGTGAGAGTAAGGACGGTAAGAAAGATAAAAGACGGAATAGTTATAGAGGCAGCAACTCAAGAAGATGCTGAAAATATAAGGACGATTATTAAAGGAAAGAATTTAAAAATAGCGGAGGCTATAAAAATTAATCCAAAAATAATAGTATTTGATGTGCCGAAAGAAGTTACTGATGCGGAATTATTGGAAGATTTATATAATGAAAATGGAATGTCGAGGGTAACGGTGGAAGATTTTAATAATTGGGTTAAAGTAGATGGTCGTAAGAAAATGAGGCATGATTTGGATAATGTAATATTAAGTCTGAATGAAGAGATTGCGGAGTACTGGATAGGAAAAGGATATGTGTTATGTTCCGATCAAAATATTAAACAGAACACTCAGTAATAAAAGAAGACAATCGTTACTAGACAGTTTTGTTTCTCCTGGCCAACCTCGAAGAATCCACTGCAAAATTTTGAAAAGCACTGGGTCTTTGGAAGTTTCTTCTGCTACTTGCTCGGCCGTAAATGGTTTTTCAGGTACTGTTTCTAGCATACAAACTTCCAAAACCGGAGGAGGTTCAGTTTCATTACATTTTAGCGGTAGTCGACTCAGCGCGTCAGCATGTGGAATTGAATTTCCGGGAACATAGACAAGCTTATAATCATAACTATTCAATATTAGTTTCCAGCGAAGCATTCTTGGAGAAACGACTTCTGGAACAGGTTTATTTTCACCCAGTATCCCTAAAAGTGGCTTGTGGTCAGTACGTATTTCCACGAACCTGCCGTAAATGTAATCATGAAATTTCTTCAGGGCAATGATGATAGCGAGTGCTTCTCTGTCAAGCTGAGCAAAGTTCCTTTCTGATTTCGACATTGTCCGACTATGAAATGCTATTGGTTTCTCTTCACCATTCGATTCTATGTGACTCATCACTACTCCTACACCATAGGGACTAGCGTCACAGCTAAGAATGAGTGGTTTCTTCTCGTCACAATGTGCCAGAACTATATCAGATGATAAAAGCTGTTTCAGTTGAGTGAACGAATCATCTTGCTCTCTTGTCCAATTCCATGGTATATGTTGATGTAGCAATTTGTGGAGAGGCTCCGCCAATGTTGCTTTGTGTTTAAGGAACACATGGTAAAAATTAAGCATGCCCAAAAACGCTTGTAGTTATGGTGTGCAGGTTGGAGCAGGAGCTTCTTTAATGGCTTGTACTTTTTCTTTAGTAGGCTGGATTCCATCAGATGTAATCCAAAATCCAAGAAATTTGATTTCTCTTACAAAGAATACGCATTTGTCTCTTCTCAAACGGAGGCCATCTTGGCGGAACCGCTCTAAAACGGCATGAAATCGTTCTCTCAATTCTTTCGACGATTCCCCGACCACCAGTACATCATCGAAATATGGTAAAACTCCGGTAACTCCTTGAAGGCGAGTATCCATGAATCTTTGAAATATCTGGGGAGCCACAGATACTCCAAATTGAGGAGTGTTATGTTCCGATCAAAATATTAAACAGAACACTCAGTAATAAAAGAAGACAATCGTTACTAGACAGTTTTGTTAATGTTAATGTCACTTCAGATTACATATTTTCATGTATGTATTATCTATAATATATAGTATTTCTTCTGAGAACCTACTGGTTACTTGTGTACCATAAACACAACAATATGTATATGTAGGATGGAGGTCTTGAAAAGTAAAGGAGGTAGATATTGTCAAGAGATGTTTTAAATGTTGCAGTGTGCATCATAGGGCGGATCAGTGTAAGGAAAGAGAGTATGTTTGCAGAAAGTGTGGCGAAAGTTCACACGATGCGAGGAATTGTAGAAATAGAATGAAATGTAAATCATGTCTTGAAAAAACAGGAAAAGAACTGGCGCAAGCAACGGATTCTGGAGATTGTCCAGAATATAAGCGCAAGCTGGAATATTTGAAGAATAGAGAGATGTTTAATGTTTAAAAACATTAAAACAATGCAGTTGAATTGCCAAAGATCATATGTAGTTATGTGCGAATTAGGAGTATTAATGAAAGAGGAAAATATATCGATTGCGCTAATACAAGAACCATATATGAGGAATGAAATAATAGTAGGAATACCAGGAAATATGAGAGTAATAATGAAGCAGGATGGTAAAGCGGCAATAATAATAGCGAATGATGAAATAGAGAGTATAGGTAGGATAGAATTAATGAATAAGTATATAGCGTGTGCTATGATAAAAATAGGGGTATATGAAATGGTTGTTGTATCAGTTTATTGTCAATTCGGAGAGGATGTTGAAATTATAAAAAGGAAAATTGAGAATGTAATAAAGAAAGTAAACGGGAAAGCAATGATTTTAGGAATGGATGTAAAGGCGGTTTCTCCCATGTGGTCGAGTAAAAATATAAGGGATGATGAAAGATTTAGAAGAGGTGAAATAATAGGAGATATGATGGTAGTTAATAATTTAATAGCTATTGATGAATATAGTGAAGATTATACTTATAGTGGACCAATGGGAGAAAGTGATATAGACGTAACAATGATAAACGAGAATTGGAAATTTGAGACTACATGGAGAATTAGGAGTGAAATAGGAATAAGTGATCATAACGTGATAGAAATAGAAATAAATTGTAATGAGGATCTTTGACAAAATAATGTTGATAAAACTAAATGGTCAGTTAAAAATGTAGATTGGGATAGTTATATTGCGATATTAGAAGGAAAAACTGAAAATTGTGATATAGGTCAGTTTATGAATTGCGATATAAATGAGCAAATGAATATCGTATATAAATGGTTAGAGGAAACGAATGAGGAATGTTTGAAAAAGGTTAAAGTAAATAGTAGAGAAGGGTGGTGGAATGAAGAATTAAATAATTTACGCAGAGAAATGAGGAAGTGTAGGAGGAAAGTGCAAGTAGGTAGGAGAACAGGATTAAATAATGATGAGAGAGAGGAAGAGTATAGGAGGAAGTGTAGAGAATATAAAATTGAAATTAAAAATACGAGAATGGAAAGATGGGAGGAATATGTTAAGAATGATGGCAATGCGGATCCATGGAGTAGTGCATATAAAATATGTATGGGGAAAAGGAATAATAATGGAATAAGCGTGAAGAAGGTAGGAAATAGAGTTACAGAAAGTTGGGTAGAGACAATAAATGTCTTATTAGATGAATGGTTTCCTCCAGGAAGGCAAGAAGGAGAAGATGAAATAGTAGAAGGAAATGAATTTGATGAATTTACAAGAGAGGAAATAAAAGATGTGATATTAACTTTAAAAAGCGGAAAAGCGCCAGGTATTGATGGAATTAAAAATGAAATGATAAAGAGAATGTGGGTTGCAATATGTAAGGAATTTGTTTGATAATTGTTTGAGGAATGGAATTTTTCCGGATAAACTAAAGATAGGAGATGTGGTGGTATTATTAAAGGGTATAGACAAGGATAAGACAGATCCAAGATCATATAGAGCAATTAATTTGCTGAGTGGTCTTGGAAAATGTTTAGAAAAATTATTAGTAAATCGTATGGAAGGAAGATTAGTAAGGAGTGTTTTTCAATTTGGGTTTAGGAAGAAAAAATCAGTAGAAGATGCGTGGGAAAAAGTACAAACAATAGTTAAAGAAGGTAATGATTAATATACAGGGTGATTCACATAACAACCGACATAGGGCAGGGGCATGTAGGGGGTCCCAAAATATGGAAATTTAACGCAACTTACCTCTATATCAAGTTGCTTCCCTAAGGAGTTATAGGCATAGCACTATATAACAGCATGTCAACTTTCCCGTTCATTTTAAAAACACTCAAACAACAATTACTCAATTGAACAACTCACTTGCCTCATTGTCAAGTCTGACGTTTATTTTCATAGCCAACTTTTGAATTTTCGATGATTTTAAATAACAAACCTAGAGCGCCCGTTTTCATTTATTCGAGTTTTTGATGAAAATGATGAGGTTTTTTGAGAAATTACTGGAGCAAGAAAAGTTTAAGAATTGAATTGCCCACAAAACAAAGCAGAAATTTTTGAAATTATGTTGAATATTAATGGTGCGCCACCTGGTATACCCCCTTTACAGCTTTCAATTGAACTCTAGTTACTGTCAAGTAACGCCCTAAATACATCCACAAAGTGTACCAGATTTGATTGCTTTAAGTTCAAGAATAACGGAGATATTGATTTTTTTCAAAATTTATAACTTCACTTTTGAAGCCTATATCTCCTTAGGGAAGCAACTTGGTATAGAGGTAAGTTACGTTCAGTTGCCATATTTTGGGACTTGCCCCTGCTCTATATCGGTTCTTATGTGAATCACCCTGTATATTAGGAATATTTGTGGATTTTAAAGGTGCGTTTGATAATTTAGAATGGGATATAGTGAAGCGAAAATTGAGAGAAAATAATTGTACCGAAGTCGTATTTTTATAATCGAATAGTATTAGTTGAAGGTAAAACGGAAAAGGTTGAAAGAAATATTAATGGAGGATGTCCACAGGGATCTATTTGTGGACTTTTATGTGGAATATGGTGATGGACGATTATTTGAATGAGTTAAAAGATGCGGGATGTGCGGTTATTGCGTATGCGGATGACTTATTAATATTAGTGAAAGGAAGTAGTAGAAATGTGATTGAGCGTAAAGCGGTACAATGGATGACTAGAGTTGTGAATTGGGGAAGTATAGTAGGAGTTGAAGTTTCGAAAACGAAAACTGTAATGATGATGATGAAAGGTAAATTAAATAGAAGTTCGATTGCAAAAATGAATGAAGAGAATATAAAGATGGTAGATGAAGTAAAATATTTAGGAATAAAAATAGGAAAGAATATGGATTTTTCGGTACATTTGAAAGAAATAAATAAGAAAGTGAGCGCGGTAGTAGGAAACATTAGTAGAATAATGCGGGAAGAATGGGGTTTGAGAAAGAAGGCAGTAGCAGTGTTATATAAAGGATTGTTGACTTCATGTGCATTATATGGAGCGGCAATATGGTATAAGGAATTAAAGAAGGTAAAAATGGAAAAAGCACTAGATAAAGTGGAGAGAGTAGGGTTATATGCAAGTTTAAGAGTATGTAGAACAGTATCAACTCATGCAATGGAAGTATTAATGGGAATATTACCATGGAGATATGAGGCTGTAAAAAGAGGAATATTGTATAAAATGAAAAAAGGATTAGAGTTAGGAAATATGCGGATTGAAGAAGAATTAACTGAAAGAAGACAAGAATGGTTAGAATTAGGAATAAAGGCAAAGAAATTATATTTAGATGAAATAATGTATGATAAATGGCAGGAGGAATGGACAGTAGATACGGTGGGGATAGTAACAAAGAAGTTTATTGCGGATGTAAGAGTAGTAAGAAATTGGAAGTGGTTCGACCCAAGTTTGGAAATGAATTTCATATCAACAGGACATGGAAGTTTAAAGGCATTTTTATATCAAAGAAGGTTAGTAGATAATGATCGATGTTTATGCGGTGATGAAATAGAGACGTGGAACAAGTATCAACAGATTGTAGGATATATAATGATGTAAGAAATCTAGAGAGAATGGAGATACAACAAGAAGGTGTAAATAGGTGGAATTATGAAGATGTTTGTAAATATGAACATTAGGGTGTTCCTAAACATCATGTACATCCGAAAGGAGGTAATTCCTCAGATCATTTTAAGACTAAAAGTTCATATAAACTCAGGTCCGAAAACGCTTCGTTACCGATCTACGGGGTGTTGAAATTTCAATTTTTTTTTTGGTTTTTCTTTATAGATTCTGCAGTTTTTGAGATATGTGGCTCAAATTTGAAACATAAATTACGTTATGGGGCTTACATCGATGGACAACTCAAATGTTTGTGAGAATCTACAGGGTGATATTTTTTTATGGGTCATGCCCCCTTTTCTCCCCCTGAACTTTTTTGCGGTGCGCTGTTGGTAAATTCTAAGGTACAAATTGAATTTTTTGGTTTGTTTACAAACTTTTTTGTATCCTGTAGTTTTTTCGTATCTAAGACCGTTATCGAGAAAAAAAAAATTGAAATTTTTTTGTAATTCGCTAAAATTATTTTGTTCGCCGCTGTTTGCTAAAGGTTTTTTTTTGCAATAACGATTTATTATACAAAACATCCAAATAAAAGACATAACAAGGAAATAACGTTATAACAATTGTTGAAAGTGACCTCCTCCAATCCTTATACATGCGTCCGCTCTTCTTCTCATTGATGCCCGTACTCTGCCAAACACCCCCGGAGTATTTCTTACAGTTTCAAATGCATTTAATATTCGATTTCGTAAGTCATCGATGGTATTTATTGGTGTTGTATACACGAGAGATTTGAGATGCCCCCATAGAAAAAAATCTAGGCTATTTAAATCAGGGGACCTAGGGGGCCATAACTGAGGTCCACCCCGTCCTATCCACTTGTCCCCAAACACTTCATTTAAATATTGCCGAGCCAAAACAGAAAAATGTGCTGGTGCGCCATCGTGCATATACCACATTTGATGTCTGAGCAAAAGAGGTAAGCCTTCAAGTAATAAAGGTAATTCGTATTGCAAAAAATGCCTGTATGAGTTTCCAGTAAGCCGACCAGGCAAAAAGAAAGGACCAATCAAATGATCCCCAACTATACCACCCCATACATTCAATGAGAACTGCTCTTGAAAATGAGTTTCGACAATTCCATGTGGATTTTCTTCGGCCCATATGTGGTTGTTATGAAAATTTATAATTTGATTCCTGGAAAAATTGGCTTCGTCGGTAAAAAGGATTTTACAGTCAAAATTGGGGTTTACTGCTATCCTATTAAGGTACCACTGGCAGAAATTAACTCTTGAAGGGAAATCTCGAGGAAGGAGCGCTTGCACCCTTTGAATGTGATATGGATATAGTAGAGATTCACGCAATATACGCCAAACAACTTGGTGACTGATATTTAAATTTTTAGCGATTTTTCTGGTGCTAGTGTCTGGCTGTTCTTCTATTTCATGTAGAACAGCTTCTTCGATCTGTGGTGTTCTAACGGTACGTGATTTACCTCCATCATCAGTGTTTTTATTAAATGTTCCAGTTTCTGCAAGACGCCTATGAATATCTGAGAATATTCGTTGATCAGGTATTATTCTATTGGGATAACGCTCCATGTATAGACGTCTGGCTTCTCTTGCATTTCCATTCGCAAGGCCATAAATAAAATGCATATCAGCCATATCGCCATTTGAATAATTTGGCATTGTTACGAGGCTATAACGAGTATTTATAACAAATTTACACCTTACAATTAACAATTTAAACACATGTAAAGACACCTAACGACTCCACATACGAACTGTCAAAAAACGCTCGCTCTCCACTGCATTTGTTTGAAAACAAATCTATTCTTTCATGATGGAAAGTATAGACAATACACTCATAGCCATCTGAGAATCTGCGTTGGAGCTAAGCTTATCGTTGGTCGGTTTAAATCCAGGTCCCGGGAACAGATCCCGGCATCGGATTTTTTTAAAGCAATGATTTCACTTTTTTCTTCTGTTTGAGATTTGAATTATTGGATACTTGGATAGCTTATACATTACGAATTTCTACTGAGTATTCATTTTCTCATACTATTATAATATTATGTGCCTATTTGAATGAAGTGTCGATCTTTTTTTGTCTGAAAGATGCGTTTGTAGAAAAAATAATGTGTGTATTTCAAGCACAAAGTGTCATTGTTGCTCTCCAAAGATTACCGCGCTCCGCTTCGCGTTGCACGGTAACTCTCTTTGTCGAGCGACAATCAATTACTTTGCGCTCGAAATACACAAATTGCTATTTCCATTTTTTCTCGACAACGGTTTTAGATACGGAAAAACTACAAGACACAAAAAAGTTTGTAAATGAATGAAAAAATTCATTTTGTATATTATAATTTATCAACGGCGCACCGCAAAAAAGTTCAGGGGGAGAAAAGGGGGCATGACCCAAAAAAAATTATCACCCTATAGATTCTCACAAACATTTGAGATGTCCATCGATGTAAGCCCTATAACATAATCTATGTTTCAAATTTGAGCCACATATCTCAAAAACTGCAGGATCTATAAAGAAAAAACAAAAAAAATCTTGAAATTTCAACACCCCGTAGATCGGTAACAAAGCGTTTGCGGACCAATGTTTATATGAACTTTTAGTCTTAAAATGAGCTGAGGAATTACCCCCTTTCGGATGTACATGATGTTTAGGAACACCCTGTATAGAGAAATGAATAAATTTGCGGTTGAATTATTTACAAGAAGGAAAGCGATGATATGAAAATAGAATTAGTATTATTGTTTAAATTATTATAAAATTGAAATGAAAATAGTGGGAATATTATATATTTAAAGAGAGTTATATTTATACAAGTATGAAAGGGCTGTGAGAATTAGGGCATGTTGGTGGGAAAGTGTAGTAATAGTAGGGACGGTCCTAGACATAAGTCTAGAGTGTACCCGAAAGCACTGCAGGTAGTACTTCCAACTGAACTAAATTCATAACAGCAGAATGCCAGTAAATTATTAAGAGTGAATGGGAGGATAGGAGGATGCGGAGGAATTGGCCCTACTTAGGTCGGGACATGGCGCAGGAAACGTTGAAGATGCCTATTACAAGTATTAGTACCCTATAGAGTATAGGGGGAAACATATGTAATGGGTTAGTAGACGTTTTGGGCTTGGCGCGCCCACGCACCCGAGCTGACTATAGCAAGGTCTGGGATGCATTCTCCCTAAAATTGTAGCAAGGACTGGACTGGTTCAGACTAACCCAGAAAGCACTTGTGAATAGGCCGAACCGAGGCCTTGCACGTATTCGGTACCCAGGGGGTCGTTAAAGCCCCATGACTTAGGCGTGAGTGTGAAAGTATTTTGCCTCGTGTCATGTGCGACCGTAAGGGTTGGACTCTGGGGGGCAGTGGTTGAAGCCATATGCTGGCTAGTATCACTTGTGATACGACGGGTGAGCTGCGTTACAGCTCGGGTGCTAGTCTGCAGAACTAGTAGAGCTTGGATAGGTGCTCGCTCATACCGAAGAGGCCGAAGACTGGAATGCAAATGGTCGCGGCAGTTCGGTAGCTCAACCCTTGCGGTTGGGCGCGTTGGTCCAGCGTATCTGGACCCCGTTATATCTCTAGGGAGGTCGTGTCTTAGAGCGTCACGGCAGGAAATACACGTAAAGCTTCAAGACATCTGTCCTCTTCGGCCGCCATTTAACGGTCAGCTCAGAACTGGCACGGACCGTGGGAATCCGAATTTCTAATTGAAACAAAGCATTGAGATGACCCCAGGGGGTGATGACGCAATGTGATTTCTGTCCAGTGCTCTGAATGTCAACGTGAAGAAATTCAGGCAAGCGCGGGTGAACGACGGGAGTAACTATGACTCTCTAAAGCATCGTGGCAATGAGAGGACGTGTCCGCTTTGCTCGCGATACAAACACTTCTGAAATTCACAGATTTGATCGAAATTCAACATTATATAACGGTATACCGAGTGTTTCAGTTCGCCGTTGGTTATAGTGTGTGTGAACTGGAATATCGTATCTCCATCCCGGCCGGAGTTATACGGGTGTCGAGAATCTCCACGTGGTCGCTAACCTATAATTCTGCCTCCGCGTGGTAGACTCATCTCGTGTCGTCTACGTATTTTCAGCAGCGGCCATCTTGACATAGGCCATCGCATTCGTACCACAACTAGTGCGCGCGCGAAATTTGAATCGAGGATGATTCTCGTAGCTGCGAGAACTCTCCTTTTTTCATTTAAACACTTATGGAAAGTGAACTGTTTTTCGACTCTGACATTTTTCATTAACACATAGTGAAAAGTGCGGAGTAGCTATCGCGACAATAGCCATACGTCCCTGTAACCACGACCCAGGGCCCAACCGACACCGCCAGTGGCCCTGGTCTGCTAAGGAGAGAGGGAACAAAAGTTAACCCAAGGAGGGTAAGTTTTTTTGCCAGTTCACTCTCTCTCCAGGCAAACCCGCCTCCGCACCGGTGTCCAAAGTGCGGAAACGGTTGCGAGACTAATGGGGGGCTGCAGAAGCACATGAAACTATGCGGAACCAGAGACACGACAAAATGTCAGCTCTGTGAAAGAACCTTCCCCACGTTCCAGGGGGTCAGGCAGCGCGAGAAGAAGGCGCATCCCGACCTGTACGCGAAAGAGATGGAAAATAGCCTGCCGAGGCCGGAACATGAGCTTCTCGAGACCCTAGCGGACATAGAGGTCTCCACGCTGAAGGGTAAACCTTTCGTTAATGAAATGGAAAGAGCCACCGGCCTCACCAGTCATCAGATTTGCCACAAGCGTGATAAAACCATATACAAAGAGTATCTCGCTCGTGCGCATGAGATCCAAGAGGAATACTGTGAATTCTCCCTTTATCCAGTTAACGCCCCAAGCTGTTCTGACTGCCTCAGCCAAGGGGAAAACAGAAACTTGTCCCCATGGCACCAAGAGCAGCTACGACTACCCCTGGAACGGGGTGCGAAGAACTAGATGACTCCGTCTATGGAATACCAAGAAGCTCCCTGGACCCCATAGAGGTCCCAGCTGTGCTGCCCATAGCCAGCAGTCCCGGGATACACTCCTCCCAAATCCCGGGAGCCTCCACTGGGAGGATACCATGGGCAGCACCAGTCAACGACAGCGACAGTGACGACTCGTTGAACGAACCTCCCCCCAATGGCGCAAAAATCAAAAAAACGTGTACGGCTAGAGGATACCCCATCACCGGGGGCACATGCGCCCCCAAGAAGACCACGAATCGAGTACTCGACGACAGCAGGTCAAGAACCCTCCCCAACTCCACCAGAAGTTCGTCAGTTGAGTGAGTCCCCACTGGCTGCTCCAGAAGTGACTGAGGTCACTACCAGCCGACCTCTATAGACATCTCCTTTCTTCAGAGGATGAGCTCGAGGATCAACTATACGAGGGGACTCTGAGCTCAACTGACAATCTTACAGGTCTGATCGATGCTGACATGGAGGCCAGCGATCAAGAACTGTCCTCCTTCATCGAAGCTTTGATCAAGCAGAACTTCGAGAAGAGGAGAACCACTCGACCTGGGATAAGGGCCGCTGAGCCGCCTGACACACAAGCGGTGGAGGTGCGTCCCGGGAGCAACTCCGGGGCGCGCTCCTCCGCCGCAGGTTGTCAGGTAAAAGGCAGAGGAAAAGGGACACGTGAGGAAAGGAATTACTGCCAACAGTCCACAGGGACCAATCCAAGAGCAGCCAAATAGAAAAAAGCTCGAGATTTGTTCAACAAGAACAAAAGTGGACTGGTGGACCGCCTGCTCGCAGGAAAGTCTTTGAATAACGCCGACGTCTTCCCCTCTGTCCAGGCAGTCGAGGAACTCAACTTCAAGCCGATACCGCCTGACGAAGTCGCCCGGGCAAAGCTCAATTGGTCCATATCAGCACCAGGGACCGACGAGGTGCAGGTGATGACCGTTAAGAGAACAGCCGATCGGGATCTGGCGATCCTGTTTTCAATATTGCTGATGAGGAACGTTCACGTGCCGTCATTTAATAAAATGAGGACCACCCTCATCCACAAGGAAGGGGACCCTAGGGATCCAGGGAACTGGAGACCGATCACCATTGGCTCTTCCATTCAACGTTTATTCCATCGAGTCCTGGCCCATCGACTCGAGATCGCGACCTCTCTGAACATGGACCAGAGAGGCTTCACCGACGTGGATGAAACAATGGCCAACACCATCATCCTGGATCACTACATCCGCTCCAGGAGAAGCAAAGGAGCCTGCTTCAATGTGTTGGCACTTTAAGTCAGAAAGGCCTTCGACACGGTCTCGCACGAGTCCGTCCTCAGGGCCCTCGCCAGGATGGGAATGGATTCGGGGACCCAAACCTATATTAGGGGCACCTTGACCAGCTCTTCCACCACCATCAAGACTGGCTCTGGCAGCACGCATCTTCTCAGGGTGAGTAGGGGGGTTAAACAAGGAGACCCTCTGAGAACTCTATTGTTCAACTATGTCATCGACGAGTTGATCTGCCACCTGAACAGTAGATCTACTGGCGGAACCCTTGCCCCTCAGATAAGGGTATCTGCCATGGCCTTCACAGATGACATAGTTGTCCTCGAAGACTTGGAAGCCAACGTGCCTTTCGTCGTAGACAGGATTGAGAGCTTCTTCGCGGCTCGCGGTATGCAGCTCAACGCGAAGAAGTCCTCAATGGTGTCCGCGACGAGAGTGCGTGGCACATCGGTTAGCCGGGGGCACAAAAATCCCAATGGTGTCCGAGATTAACTCCTTCAGATACCTCGGACATAATGTCAACGCGACCGGCTTGCTGAAGCCAAGTCTAAGCAATCTTTTTCGGTGGCTCACTGACATCGAGCGCGCTTCTTTAAAACCGGACCAAAAATTGAAGGTCTTGAAGAAGCACATCATACCGAAGTTAATGTTTGGGCTTCAGAACCCCAGGGTCACAGGCCAGATACTACGCTCAGCGGACCGCCTCATAAAGCGGTTCGCTAAACACATACTTCACTTGAATGAGCATACCCCTGACGCAAAACTTCATGCCAAGATCAGGGACGGTGGCCTTGGGTTTTTGGACCTCCGACATTTTATTCCGGGCTTCTTCCTGATAAGCCTGACCGGGCTTCTTGACCACGTCGACGGCCGATCCTTGAGCGCCGTCCTACAGTGTGTCGAAACGCGAAGACTCATTGAACGATTGAACACCTTGAAAGGCGATGTTCCAAATGATCATCTGTGGCGAGACCGCCTAATGCAGGCGCCCACATTGGAAGGTCTCGAGAACTGCACAGATGATCCCGCCAGTAGGAGCTGGATAGATCAAAAACCAGCAGGATGGACAGGCCAAGACTTTGTCAGAGCCGTGCAATTAAGATCAAACAACCTGACCGTAGCGGGCATTATGTCTAAGCCGCCGGAATTGCGGAAATGCAGGGCCGGCTGTGACAAAGTTGAAAGCCTGTCCCACGTCCTACAACAGTGTCCCGCCACACACTGGGAGAGGATCAGGCGTCACAACGAGGTGGTCAAGAAGGTCGCCGGGCATTGCAGGAAGAAGCAATGGACGACCGAGGAAGAACCCCACGTCCAGCACCAGGATGGCACACTTCTCAAACCAGATTTGGTTGTCCACCAGAACATACGCACACTTGTTGTGGACGTGGGGGTGAACTGGGAGGGAAATCAACCCCTGGGGGTGACGTATGCTGCCAAGAGGGCAGTCTACCATAATAACAAATTCTCAGAGGCCGCACGGCAACGCTGGCCTGGCAAGACTCTACAAGTCTTGCCATTGATTGTTGGTGCTAGAGGGATCTGGCCGAGGTGCAACGGGCCCACCGATGAAACGCTCAAACTGACACGGGCGTTGAGGGCGAGCTGTGTACACATCGCACTCAAATGGGGCTCTTCGATCCACCAATCGTTTGGTCGAAGAGTCTGGAGATGGCGTTGAGGTGCTACGTCGCAGGTGTCATAGTTCTCGCGGTTCTTTCCCGCTGTTAATTGTCAAGCAACGGGTGGTTATTTAAAAGTGTTGTGGGCGTCCCTAAAATGGAAACTGTTTTAGAGTGTTGTTAAGTTCCATTCACTATCGTACTTTAATATACAGGGTGTCAATTTGAAAACTTCCCACCCTCAATATCTCCCTCCAAGTCGTTAATATGGAGAAACGAAAAGACAGGTCGATTTTATTCTCGAGGGGGACACTTTGAATTGATATTTTTGACCATCATGGTTCAACCCCCTAGGAGGGGTAGATGTCACCCTCAGAATATGAATAGGGAAGAGGGGTCAAGTGGCACATCATTTTGTAGGGCGTTCAATTCTCTTTCCAACGATACCCTACTTTACTATTTTTTGACGAGCAATTTCTGAAAAATAGCGTTCTAAATCTACAGAAGTGATCTAAACTTGCCTGCACAAAGATGCATGATTTTCAGGTTAGTATTTGAACAGAGATTTTTGGATTGATTTTCCTTTCAGTAAAACTAGTCAGGAAATTAGGTAACAACTTCACATCTTTTCAACAGGGGCAACATAATATCTTTCTTTTCAACGGTATATCTTACTTTACTATTTTTTGATAACCAGTGATTGGAACTTGCCTTAACTCAGATACATTGTCTTCAGGACGAAAATTATTGTTTTGAATCTTCCATTGATGAAAATGGTTAGAAGGTTAGGTGGCATCGTTACAATAGAAATAAATCTAGTCTACACACGTTTGATTTTTTGTTTGTTGGTTATATTACTTTGAAAAAAAACTTTCAGAGTGCCAGACAGAAATTTCAAACATCTATTCACGTACTATCTTATAAACTGTTCGAAATGTTGTCCATTTTGTTCTAAACAGTAATAAAGTCTGTTTTCGAACTCCTCTCTAACATTCTGGAAAACTTCACCACGAATCGAGCGGCATGCTGCTGTAATTCGTCCTTTGAGTTCATCAATATCCGTCGGTTGTGTTTTGTAAATGACGGATTTAAGATGTCCCCAAAGGAAAAAATCTAAAGGAGTCAAATCCGGTGATCTCGGAGGCCACTCAGTTGCTCCCCTTCTGCCAATCCATCTATCCGGGAATCTGTCATTTAACCACTGTCGGACAGGAAGAAAATATTGAGGTGGGGCACCGTCCTGCTGGAAATGTAACAGATCCTCCTGCAGAAGTAAATTACCGTCTGCATCAATTTGATTTTCTAGCTCGTGAGTTATAAGAGGATCGATAGTATCTTCAAGCATATCTAGGTACAGATTTCCAGTCAAATTTTCTTCAATGAATAAAGGACCAACAATGGCATTTCCAAGAATACCAGCCCAAACATTAATTTTTTGTGGTTGTTGTGCTCCGAACAACGAACCCCCTAGAAGAATAACGTAACAGATATTTATGATACCAACATGAATTCCCACAACAATCATAATATTAGTTCCCAATCGTAGCCAGTGTTGTCATGTCGCATATTTTAAAAGTAATAAATATTCCGTCATCTTTATTTTTCATCCCTGCTTCATAAATCTAAAGCAATAAATTCATGTTTTTGTTAGTCGGATTATGTATAAACACTAGAGAATTAATGCGTAATGATTCATACCTAATTCTGGTCAACTCGTCGAGAGCTTACGTACGCAATTCAAGTATTTTCAATACTTCTTGGCCAATGTTGCAACGTCGCTTCTGGGTATTCGACAGTGGACAGCGATAAATGTTTTGTTTGGTATCGTCGTATTGTTTATGTGTCGTTCGGAAGGATTTTCTCTACTTATGTTCCGTTTTGTGCTTCATCAATAATATAAACTGAGTTTATAACAATATTTTGCTGATCTTTGTACAATGGTGAGACGTTGTGAGGTGTGTAAGAGACAATTTGATCCAAGTGATCAGAACACGTCATTTCACAGGTAAGCGACCAGTGTCGTATCATACGAAATTTCAATATCGTTTCCCCAAATTGAGATGGAAGCAATAAATATCCAATGAATTAATAAGATTAGATTTAGGCTCTCTGCAACATTCAGTGTTCTCCGGTGATGTGAAAAATATTTACAGGTTTCCTCAAAATGCAGAATTGATGAAAATATGGGAGAAAAACATTGGAAATGAAAACGTTTCCAACGAAGCTAGGATATGTTCGGATCATTTTCATATCAGTGACATAATGTTTAGTCCAGGTGGAAAGAGATTATCGAAAAGAGGAGCTATACCTGTTTTTCACCATAAGAAGGAGAGGTGAGAATTTCTTCAATGAATAACTAAGTATTGAAGCGGGAATAATTTGAACCCATATCGACAGTGGAATAATCAAGACCTATGTGACTAATGCTTTTGATTAATGTGGTGATCATTATGTGGTAATAATTGTAATTTTTTTTTATTGTAGGGTCATTCTTGAAGGAAGCATTGAAGAAAGCAGAATATGTACATCACAACAGAATGAAGGAGCAACACAATGACTCCATTTTGTGTTGTTATTTGGTGGTGGTGGTGATCATTATGTGGTAATAATTGTAATTTTTTTTTTCATTATTGTAGGGTCATTCTTGAAGGAAGCATTGAAGAAAGCAGAATATGTACATCACAACAGAATGAAGGAGCAACACAATGACTCCATTTTGTGTTGTTATTTGTCGTGAAATGTCGAATTTCAAGAAAATGAAGCTTTGTCAAATGTTCTATTACTTGAGAGGAAATCAGATGGCTACAAGCCGAAGAAATGAAAAATTATCTGTTACAGCCGTAAAGAAAGTATAGTGTATAACTCGCACGGAACGCTGATTTCCCACTCTTATGATTTGCAGCATTCGCCTACGGCTCATGCAGCAAACTTTATTATCGTGTGAAATGACTATCATTCTGTGCTCGATAAGCAATGTACCTACTATTTACTGAATTGAGTGACCCTTTCTTATTGTATGTTTATAAGTTTGACAACAACGAACGTGTCACAATAAAAATGTTAAATTTCGTGTCCCAATTCCTGATGTTTAGGTATGACAAAAATACGGATGTATCGTATCTATCAGAATGTTTGTATAGCAATTTGATGAATACAGATTACAGTAAAATTAATTCGATATTTATTGCCAGAAAAAGCATATTTTTAAATTTTCTTCCACAGTCAAGAATTTATTATATCAACTATCAAGCTTTTTTCGCCCTACGGCACTGGTGCTGGGGGAATCAGCTGTTGCTATCCTTGTTTAGCATGAAATGAACAATTCAGATGTTGGTTCCAAACAAACTGTATTGCCAGGGCTATGGATTACTCATCTAGTCTGTTTTATGATCGAAGTTGTTGTGTATGCCCTTCTCGAAAAATGTGAGGGTTTTCGTCACTCCAATAGCGACAATTTTGTCTATTCACATTTCCATTCAGAAAAAATGAACATTCATCGCTGAAACAGATATTTAATAATAGATTAGGGATGGCATTGACTCGATTTGACATCGTTTCACAAAATTCTATTCTTCTATCATAATCATCCTCATGGAGCTCTTGAAGAATCTGCATCTTATATGGATGAAATTTATGTAATTTCAGTGCTTTTCTCACAGTCTCGTGTGACATTCCCGTCTGTTCTGCCACTGAACGTAAGGAGCTAGTAGGTTCTGCAGCAAATGTTCCCAAAACTTCAATTTGAGCTTCTTCATTCAGTACTCTAGGATTATTCCTTTTTTTATTTTTCACCGAACCAGTTTCGTAAAACTTTTCCACCAAATCAAGCACATACCGGTGACTAACATTACAATCTGGATTTCTTTCATTAAAAAGAAATGCCGCTCTTCGTGCGCACTTTCCAGCCTCTCCATAAATCACAATCATTTCAGTTCTATTTGAAAGAGTGTAAACCATTTTCACAATTATAGGTACCTACTCTGAATGAACGTATTACTGATTAGCTCAACAAATAAAACTCATCAATCAATAATACTACCAGATCGTTTGAATTTGCTGAACAATTTTTTGCTCGAAAAACAGAATTTTTTTAAATCAGCAGTGGCAAGAAAGGAACAAGAAAGGAAGGCCATCTGTAGAATTGAAAATCCAATGATAAACGCAAATAAGCTATCATCGAAATGTCACTATTAGATTATTGATGTTGATTTATTGGAGCTGATGGCTAATTATGTTGCCCCTGTTGAAAAGATGTGAGGTTGTTACCTGTTTTCCTGTCCAGTTTTACTGAAAGGAGAATCAATACAAAAATCTCTGTTCGAATACTAACCTGAAAATCATGCATCTTTGTGCAGGCAAGTTTAGATCACTTCTGTAGGTTTAGAACGCTATTTTCCAGAAATTGCTCGTCAAAAAATAGTAAAGTAGGGTACCGTTGGAAAGAGAATTGAACGCCCTTCAAAATGATGTGCCACTTGACCCCTCTTCCCTATTCATATTCTGAGGGTAACATCTACCCCTCCTAGGGGGTTGAACCATGAGGGTCAAAATGATTCATTCGAAGTGTCCCCCTCGAAAATAAAATCGACCTGTTTTTTCGTTTTTCCATATTATCGACTTGGAGGGAGATATTGAGGGTGGGAAGTTTTCAAATTGACACACTGTTTGTGCTTGTACCATTTATAATTGTATTTTCACTTTTGAAAATGTTACTATCTTGACAGTGGTGACTAACCACGCTTACTCCTACAGTGTCAGCACCACAATTCTTTTTGAAATTTTAATTTTAATCCTAGGTATAACGACCTGGTGGGAGGTCTCTTGATTTTCCCACTAGGACTAATATTGAATGTGTTTCGATCTATCCCCGATTGGGGTCATAACTTTGTATTTCATTCCGCCCTGCGCGGCGCTGTCACCAGCAGGGTACATGTATTTACTACTTAATAAATATTTTGGCTAGCCAAATGCCTCGTCATCTAATTAGTGACGCGCATGAATGGATTAACGAGATTCCCACTGTCCCTACCCACTGTGAGACCTTTACGTTGGTGGGGGA